TCAGACCCAGCGTTGTGCCCATGGGGCTTGCGGCAGGGCTGGGACGGGAGCAGGATGGGGTGCACTGAGCTATGGGGTGCAGGGGGCAATGTGAGCAGCCACTGTGGCTCATGTCCCTCCCAAGACGCTTTTGTCCCATCCAGCAAAGCCGATGGGCAAATCCCTGCCGGGCCGTTCGGTGCTGCCATGGTCTGTGTGCCGGCCGCGGCAGAGGGCCAGTGCCCCTGGGCTGCCAGCCCCCACGGCTTGGGGGACGTCCGTGTCCCTGTGCCACGCAGCACATCTCAGCCGTGGGCTCCGGCATGGAGGGGAGGACTGTGCTTTCCAGCAGGTTTCAGAGCTGGGAGGAAGCTGCTCGAGCTCCTGCGTGACTTTTTGGGATTGCACGGACAAAACACAGCGCCTCAAACGTACCTCCGAAGGTGCAAGAGCTGGACGAGCAATCCTGCCCTGCACCCCCTGTGCACAGGGCTGCGGGCTGGGCGCTGCACAGGCAAGCACAGCCCCAGGCCCGGCCTGTTGGGCTGCTCGGGGCAGCAATGGCCTTCCCATCCCATCAAAGCCCCGTCCAGGCTCTTCGCTTCCAGCACTGGCAGCTCCGCTCCTTCTCCCAACCATAACAATTTGCCCCCGTGCCGAAGGTGGCGGGGGCCACGGGCAGGGGCAGACGACCCACAGGGGCGAAGGACCGCTCCAGATGCCTGGACCTTGCATGCACAGTCGCGTCCTGGTGCTCCTTCCCCAAAAGCACAGGGAAAGCAGAGCACCCTGAGGTTGTCCCAGCAGCTGGGCCACCCTGGGGTGCATGGCTGAGCCTCAGCACCCCTTCCCGGGAGCCACCCTCCTTCCCTTCGCCTGCTCTCCCAGTGCTCTGCAAGTGCTAAACCTTGGCTTAGCCTCACCGTTCCCCTCCAAAACCAGGCGGGCCGCCAGGCGCTCTGATAGCTTGAGTGCCGAGGAAATAAAAATAAGCAGGGATTTGCACGCAGGAGCACGAGGAGGCCCTGAAAGGGGCCACGAAGCCCCAGAGCCGGCCCTGCAAAGTGGCCTCTCCTCGAGCCCTAGCTCAGGGGGTGCCAGCCTGGCTGGGGACCGTCCCCGCGGCAGGAGCTGCTGGATGCGGGCACTTCTGCCACGGAGAGGAGGGCTGTGCGCGCTCACGCATGCTGCGCACGCGCATAGAGGCACGGATGCAGACAGCAGTAGCCAGCGCTATCTGGGGAGCTTCTTTCTGCCTTTGCCGTGTTGCTCTTGCCGCTGGTTCCAGAGCTGTTTATTGCACCCCCTTTTCCCCCACTCCTCTTCTTTCTTGCATTGCGCTGCCTCCCTCACCTCGCCAGCGTGATTGCGAACCAGGTTGCTCTCTCCCACCAACTTTGACCTTGGAAACTAAAGAAAACAGCCTGCCTAGCCTCAAAACTGCCCCTGCCTTTTGCACCTGGCCCAGCAATCACATGCGCTCACCTAATTTGCCTGTGCAGTTGCCTGGGGGGAACAGATGCTAACAAGATAACTTGGGACCTCAGAGCTGAAGCTCAGATGCATTCCCCCTCCCCACCCCCGATAAGATGCCTGGGAAGCCCAGGCCCCAGTGTCAGGAGCTATGGATGGAGCAGGATGAGTGACCCAAACTAGTTCACTCACAGTGTCACCATCCCCCCGCAAGAGGAGATGCTGCTCTCCCGGCTGGGCCTGGGGCACTGACTCAGCCTCCACCTTCCCTCACCGCCATGGGCTGAGCTTGCCGGGAGCTGCCCTTCCTCCCCATGCTCCCAGCTTGGCCCCAGGTGTCACCTCAGGTGTGACTGCCCATCCCAGGTAGGTCACACCTGGAGAACAGCTGTGTGGATGCAACAATGGGACCTGCTATGCAGCTGTTCCTCCTAACGATGGTGCCTACGACTGATGCCTCATTTTCCCTTTTTTTTTTTTGGAGCAGTGTTGGCACAGTCCAGCCGAGACTGCCGAGGTGGGTTATTATTGCTTTTGCAGGAGTGTCCCTGGGCACCCAGGTTTGCAGATGCCACTTATTAAATCTGCCAACAAGCTTTCAAGGCACAGCCATGCCCTGCGGGGCTCTGGCTTTGCCGAGGGGGGGGGGAGAGAGAGCTGGGGTACCCGTGTTGGAGCAGCGTCCCCCAGCGCTCCAGTCCTGTGTTGCATCGGAAGACTTTTCTCTTGGAAATTCATTAAAAAAATTTTTGGAGGAGGAAAGAAAAAAAGAAGAATCATAAACAATCACCATGAAATTTTCTGGAATCTCTCTAAAAAAAAAGGGAAAAGGAGAAAAAAAGGAAGCAGGTTTTTCCCCAGGCTCAAATGCTGCTCACCTCATCGCTTGAGAAATGCATAGTTGATACACAAGAACGTTAGCTACATTGGGAGTCTCCCAAAGCCCTCGAGCCGTGACCACCTCCAAGCCACTTCTGCCCTGTGGGAGGGCAGCCTGGGGTTTTGGCAGGTTGTCCCTGACCCCGAGGTATGTGTAGTGCAGTTCTTGCTTGGCCCTGCCTGCGAGACGCCTTCGTCACGTCTCCCAGCCACCGCAGAGCCCTGGTGGTGAGCCTCAGCCAACATCTCAGCAGACCTAGCTTCGCCGTGAGCATGCTGGAGGGGAAAAGGATGTCACTGGAAAACAAAGAACGGATGCTCCAAAGCCAGTCTCCCCCACTCCAGCCCCGGCCTGTGTTGGCCACATTTGGGGACAGGCAGAAGAGAACGATTCTCCTTGGGAAAGGCTCAGATCATCTTCATGTTGAACTTCCTGGCTCCTCCTTGGCCTGTGGTGGTCGTGGGGCCGTCCACCTTACGGAAGGAGTACTCCACGGAGAAGTTGTTCTTGTGCTGCCCCCGGCCTCGGCTCCACACAAAGAGGAGCAGGAAGCAGAAGAGCACCACCCCAAGGAAGGTGATGCAGCCCATGGCCGTGGAGACCAAGATGGTCTTGAGGTCCAGTGTAAACTTTAAGAAGACTTGTGTGTCATTGTGGTAGGTGTCATTGAACTCGCTGAGGTACAAAGTCCGGTTTGCATACAGGGAGCTATCGGCCGGGTGCCCCTTGACTGTCAGGGTGGCAAAGTAGGTGTCGTTGCCCCCTGCATTGCTGGCAATGCAAATGTACGTGCCGCTATCTTGAACCTGGGCAAATCGGATCTCCAGTGTGCCCCCTGGCAGCACTATCGCCCGCCCTGTGCTTCTGGTGGTGATCATGCGGTGCTGGGGGGAGACCCACACAATGGAGGGGTCTGGCTCCCCGTCCGCCCGGCAGAGGAAGGAGACAGATTGTCCTTCCCGGGCTGTGACGTGCTGCAGCTTCCGGTCCCTTATTTTGGGCTTTTGGCAGGTGAAGTACTCAAAGAGTATGGAATCCGGGAAGTCGCGCAGGGCATTGCCCTGTATCTCAGGTGGTGAGGAGCACATGGGCTGCTGCCCGTCAAAGTTGAGCGTCTTCCGTCGCTGCAGGATCCAGAGGAGGCGGCAGTCACAGGCCAGGGGGTTCTTGTCCACACGCAGTGTCTCCAACGTGTTGACAGAGTGGAACGTGGTCTCCTCCAGCGTGGAGAGGAAGTTGCTGGAGAGGTTGAGGAGCCGGATTTGTCTCAGGCCAGAGAAAGCCTGTGGCTCCACAGAGACCAAGAGAGCACCCACAATGTGGAGCTCCTGGAGCCGGATTAGGTCTTTAAAGGAGCCCTTCAGCACAGTGCTAATGGGGTTGTAGGACAAGTTCAGGTACCTGAGGTACACCAGGTTCCTCAAGGCAGCTGTGGGCACAGCTGTGATGTTGGTGTAGGTGATGGAGAGCGAGGTGAGGTTCAGGCCCTGGAAGCTGGTGGGGGAGACGTCTTCCAGCAGTGGCCAGTTGTCAATCTCCAGCTGCAGGAGGTTGTAGAGTTTCTTGAAGTTCTGATCTTCCAGCGCGGAGATGCTGAGGTGCCGGAGCCGGAGCACCTCCAGATTCTGGAGGTAGGACAGTGACTCTGCCGAGATGGAGGTCAGGTTGCATTTCTCAATGGTCAGCTGCTCCAGGCCGAGCAGCCCAGAGAAGGCTCGCTGGGAGATGTACACCAAGTCGTTATCGCCCACCTCCAGGCTCTTCAGGTTTCGCAGGTCCTGGAACATGTAGTCCAGCAGGATGACAATTTTGTTTTCGCTAATGTCCAGAAGGGTGAGGTTGGTCAGCTTGGTGAAGACCCCTGGAGGGATCAGCTTGAGCTGGTTCCCTCGCAGCCGCAAGGTGTGCAGGTTGAACAGGTTGCTGAAGGCACCCGGCTCCACATTGGTGATGATGTTCTCGCTGAAATCGAGCTCCTCCAGCAAGGGGTACGGGGAGAGGTCCCCCGGGTTCAGGCAGCGGATGCGGTTTTTGTTGAGCTCCAGGATCCTGGTCTCGGTGGGGATGCCCTCGGGGATGGAGGTGAGCCGCTTGCGATGGCACACCACTGACTTGATCTGAGGGGCGCACTCACAGCGGGCTGGGCAGGCTGCGACCAGGTCAGTGCTCAGGAGGATCAGGTGGAGGATCAGGACCTGTAGCCAACATGTCATTGTGTAGAGCATGGTCTTATGGGCTCACTACCATTCTCCCATGCACCTGGAACGGAGAGAGAGATGAGGTGTTAGCAGACAGGCTAAATAAGCCTCACAACCAGGGCATACCAGTTTGAAAACAGGGAAAGTGAGGCAGAAGCAAGGGCAGAGATTTGCAAGTGAACCTAAGGCTGGAGACCCACATCTCAACCTCTGCCCCTCAACTCACACCAACTCTGCCACCACCAACGGTGCCCATTCTTCTGGAAAACTGCTGCTCTCACGGAGCTAAACTGGGCCAGCACTCAGCTGAGCGCCGTGACCTGCGTGCTGGCTGACGAAGCATCCCCACAGTCTGCAGACGGAGGTGGTTGTATCCGTGATGTTTTTTGGTGGGTGGAAGGCAGCGTTTGCACATATGCGTGTGCAAGCGTAGGAGACCATGTGCATGAAGGGGAGCATGTTCGTGAGAGCATCCTGGGATAACAGGGGACACAAACTGCTTGGGATTGCTGCACAAGCAGAAATGGTGTTAGCATCCCCTCAGACCAAGCATGGGTGTGTAAAAAACAGAGTCCTGAGGGCGGCTTAGGAGCAACGAGAAGCAGCCTGAGACCCTGAAAACTTGTGACAACACCACATCCTCCTTTGCATCCTGTGATGGCCACAGAGGTGTCTCAGCAGGTGGCACAAATCCTTCCCTGCCATGGTCTCACAGTCTTTCCTCCAGGTTCGGCCGTTCTGGTGGCGTGATGTCCTGCAGGACGAGGGACGCTCCTGACTGCACGTATGGGGTGGTCCTCTCAGCCCCAGCAGCTTGGAACCACCCTTGGCAGACTGGAGATTAAGAAGCCTGCAGACTGCAGACCCAGTCTTCGTAGATTATGGATTAATACCGACCTTCTGAATCATAATGCACTGTCCTCACGGCTCAGCAACCGCTGCCCTCATTTTGGAGGGATTAGCACTTTCCCACCAGTTTCCCTTTTCTCTCCTCTCCCCTTTCCCGCTTTCTTTTCCCCACTTCCCCCAACCTGCCAGCCCTGCTGGGAGCTGTGGCACGCTGCCCTTTCCTGCAAGCCCTCTGACTGTAACTCGGTGCATCTGACAGTGGCCAGGCAGGGACAGGTTTCTCCGGAGCATACCTGCTGACAGCAGACCTGGCGTGAGAGCAGGCAGCCTCTCTCCTGCCTGTCGCTGTGCCACCGGGCTGGCTGGGGCTGGCAGGTCTGGCACCACCAATGAGGTAACGCCCTCCTTATTTTGCAAGAGGGGAAACTGAGGCACAAAGAGGGAGGTGGCTGTCTCCACCTCTCCAGGGTGATGGTGTGCCTGAGGCCGGTGAGGTTATGCTGCTACCTGGGAGTTACTGAGAGCAGAGACAGATCCACGGTTGCCCTTAGCTATGCACTTTGCATATGGAAGGAGCTTGGCAGGTCTCAGCTCGGCTCTGAGAGGTGAAAGAACAGTATAGAAAATACCCCAAAGCACCTGAATGAATGAGAGCCCTCTGTCCCTTTTCCAAGAATGACTTTGGCACAGATTTGAAAAGGTATTCAGGGAGCCTGGATGCTTCCGGGGAGCCATTCATTAACTGCCTTTTTCTACAGGTCTAGCACTGCAGAGGCCTTCGAGCTCTCAGCCCATCTCCTAGTAGCACCACACATTTGCCCACCCTGGGAAAAGCAATCCTGGCTGTGTCTGTGCCCTTTCCAGAGACAATTGTGTCCGGCTGCCTGGGAGCCGGGCGATGAGGCAGCTGGAGCAAGACTTGTGGATGGGAAGTCTCATTTTTTTTTTCACACCACTTGCTAATGCCACCAGTTTAGGCTGAGGTCAAGCTTTGGGCAGCTCTTGCTTTGGTCTCCAAAAGAAGCATGGCTCCTCCTTGCCTTTCTCGCAGTGTTTTCATCCCAGGACTGTGCCTCTGGGCTCTGAGAGGTATTTCTCTCCAGTTTTCCTTCCCCTCCTGCAGTTCTTGCAGGAGAAAGCCAGCGTGGGCCCATCCGGCCCCCTCCTTCCCGCAGCAACACAGATTTTAACAAGAAGAGAAAATGGCAGGGCATGAATCAATTGTTATATGAATCAGAGGATGGTAATGAGAACTGAAAATGCCATGCCGGGAATGGGATTTGCTGACCATGCAGAGAATGTCCCAAGGACAGGAAATGGCAGGAGCGCCTGCTCCGGACCCAAGGACAGTGCTGCAGGAGCAGAGGTTGGGGCAGGCCTGAAATTACCCCGAGGTCGTAGCAGGACAGGGATGCTCCTGTGGCCGCATACAGGGGACAAACGGGAAGCAAAGGGCTCAGCTCTGGTCTGGGAATGGTCCTCGCCCCCTTTGCTGACGTGGCCCAGGCAGTAGCTCCCGCACACCAGAGCCAGGGCACGATGCATCTGTTCCCACCACCTCATCCAGCACAGGAGAAGGGTCTCCATCCATCACTAGGCCAACCCAACCCACCGTGGCAGCTCCCTTTGCATGTGTGGCTGCCTCCTCCTGCCTGTTGCTGGGATTTATTGGCTTTGCACTTCCTTGCTAATGTGTCTCTTTGTCTACGCGCCTTATCGGCACAAGGCAACAGCAGCTCACTCCCTATCTACAATATTTATCTACGGGCCTCTGCGCTCCTCCTGCTCTCGCCGCACCAGCGCTGCCTCTCGCAGCAGAACCCGTCTGTCTCCCGGACATCTCCATTCGCACAGCCTTGGACCTTGGCCCGGGGCACCTCGTAGCAGCAGCAGCCAAAGGACAGCAGCTCCTCCGCCTCGGCACAAGCTACCAGGGATTTAACCTCTTCCCTGCTGCCTTCCCTGCTGCTCAATCACGTTGAGCAGCTCTTGGGCTGGCTGGGAGCGATGCTGGAGCCCGGCCGCCCCCAGAGAGGTTGGCAGGACGCAGCTAGCCCGCTCCACCTTCCAGCCCTGGTGAAAGCTGCTGTCTCGGGTGATTGGAGTTGATATTTTTAGAATGAAAGGCAGGTTGGAAAGAAAACCCTGCTTGTTGCCTTTTCTACCGGTGTAGACTTTTTAAAGGCAATTTAAAGCAGTTTTATAGACAGCTTTATCAAAAGTGACATGAAACTAGCTGCTGACACCTTCAATTTACTAACTCTTTTCCTCTGCCTGCCTTCTCTATTATTCACATTTTCAATAACCAGTCCAACACTGGTGCCGTTCTTTCCTATTAAAAGCTGCTGCAAAATCTGGAGGGGGAGAAAAGAGAGGCCAGACTCACTCAGCACTATGGGAGGGAAATTTTCTGATTTCTCGTGCAGTTGCTACGAAACCCCTTCTTTGCCCTCCCTGGCTCTCCTTGGGTGGGTGAGGTTGGTGTTCCTGCACCCAGCATTGCTGCCCAGAGTAAGGCTTGAACCAGGAGAGTGGCAACCACCTCCCTCGAGGGGGTGGTGAGCCCAGGACATGGGTGGGGAAGCTGGTCCCACTGCCCACAGCACTGGGATGAACTGGTGTGCAATACCAGCTAGTGAGCGGAGCTCACGCCAGCCACCGTGAAATCCAAACTGTGTCCTAGGGCAGTTTTGCATCTCAGTTCAGTACTTTTTTGGCAAGTTTGCTCACAAAGAGCCCTCCAGTGTGCTTTCCCGTGTGTCCTCTGCCCCTTCTTCTCCCTCTGGGCTCCCGAAATGCAGTCATGTCCAAGCCTGACACAGTGCAGGGCATCACTTCCCCCCCCGCCCCCCCCCCGGCAGGTGGCACAGGATGGAGCGAGGATGTCACAACATCCGTCGGTGTCGTAACTCGTGCCAGGATTGCCTCAGTTTCTTGTGTTTGAGCCTGCCACAGCACTGCTGCATGTCTTTGCTTCCGCACTGCGTGCTGCCCTCACTCCGATCCCACTGGAGCGCAGCGGCAGTCTCCGAAAGCTTCTCAAAAGGCAGGATGTAAAGGGGCTTTGCACTTGGTTTAAAGAGGAATGGAGGGAGAAAGAAAGAGCCACTGCTCTTCAGATCTCGTCACTGCCAGGAGCTGTGCAAGGGAGAGACTCTTGGTGGGCAGGTGCCAGGGGCTGGGGCTGTCTCCTAGCCCTAGGCCCCTTCCTGGGCAGGCAGCACATCCCCAGCCTGCCCCTTTGCGAGGGAAGATACAGAGAATGTCTGCATGGGGAGAGGAGGGCTGGTGCTTCTCCCAAACCTCGAGCTGGCTTTCTTTGGCCAGCACTTCTTGGCGCTCACCGCGCTCCTCTGGCCAAGCTCCCAAGCAGGTAATTACATCCCGCTCCTGGAGTCATCCTGCGCCATTTGGCCAGCGAGTTCCCCAGACGTCTGGCGAAGGCCCTGGCAGTTTGTGCCCTCCGCTGAAATGCTGTGGAGCAGCTCCAGGAGTGACCGCACTTCCTCGGGAAGAGCATCTCTAAAATACCTCACACCTCTACCTGCTCCCTGCAGGCTCCTCACTCGGACGTGCTTGTCTGCTGCGGGGTCAGCAGACGTGTGACAGACACTTGGCAAATGCTCGGGCAATGCCATCTCCTGCTTGCCGGCAAGCCAGCCCGCATGGCCACCCAGCGCTCCCAGCCCTTCCTATTCCCTGGGCACTCAGCGCTAATTATCTTCATTAAGCCAAACACAGACTCCTGCTCATGCCTCCTCGTGCTAATTGGTACCATGATGCTCCCAGGGAGTATGAGGATGAGTGACAGAGACCCCCAAAACCCTCCTGGCTGATGAGCCCAGAGCCACATTCCCAAGTCCTGGTCCTGACTCCAGATGCAAGCAACCAGGAGGGAGGCAGGAAAGGTGCTGGGCACCCTTCGGTGGCATGACCATGGCCAGAGAGGCAGCAGCGATCTTCCAAATTGCTCCCAGCTCAGTAGCTTCCCATCAGCTCCGAATTGGCCCCAAGTGTCAGGGCATGTGGCAGAGCTGCTCCGGGCAGTTACTGCTTTCAGATGACACCACACAGCTTGCGGGAGCCCAGTGAGAGCCATGCAGGAGCATCTGTCACAGCCCAGGGCCCTGGAGAGCCCAAAACGAGTGATGGAGCAGCGAGCGCAGGAGAACACATGTCAGTGGCTGGCTCTGTCCTTGTTAGGTGGCACGC